CCATTTATCCCTCCACCCTTCAATTAACCCCACGTGTTTATTGGCCAGGTTGGCACAATAAACTAACTACCTCATTGCCTTTCTAACCAAATTCATCTGTTGATAAGGTAACGATCTTGTATTCCTTGAATGCTGACATGGCAGGCTTTTCTCTGAAGCTCTCCCAAGGCTGTGTTCAGAGTACCTTGGCCGCTCTGAGGACACACAAAAGATGTGGCTGAGCCCAAGAGGGAGGAGCGGAGCATCTATAGCCAGATGCAGCTATTTACAACCCCGCTTCCCTCTCTGCTTCCGTGCCCACATCCAAGAAGCATTAAGGCTGGCTGTGTAGGGTCGGGAAAGAAACCCCCTTTCCTGAGGAAAGTTGATGCTAATCAGACTTCCCCATGTTTGTCTCCATCATCTAACAAACGCATGGTTTACACAGTCTTGGAAACAAATTTGGATCATGTAATTAGGAAGTTAAATTGCTCAGAAAAAGGCAAATGGAAAAACCACCTTCCCTTGCACGGGGACGTTTATATGCAGGCTTCCTCTGATTGTCTCATCCGCACTCCAAGCTCGCCAGCTTGCTCAGCAAGGCAGTCTGCGATGAGCCAGCCGCAACTCCAATCAGAGGCAGCAATGCAGTCTGTCTGTGGCTGTTTTCTGTGTGGAGACAAATGAAGGCTCTCCCAGTGGAAACCTACTCAAAGTCCCAGAAAGCCTTCTCGAGACTAGTTTCTTATCTTTACTTCGTATTATTTAATAAAAAACAAAAACAAAATGCACACAGAGTGCAGAACCGTTGGTAGCCAGCCCTATAGGATCAAAAGTGGCACTATTTCCTTTGGCTTTCCCTCTAGAAAACAGTCTGTGTTAAGTAGCGTAGAGGGTGCTTCGATGGGCTAGTTCTTGGAGAAGCCCTGGTGGCAGAGTTGGGCTGCTAACTACAAGGCCAGCAGTTCCAAAACACCAGCTGTTCTGATGGTTTTCTGTTCCCTAAAGATCGTATTACAGTTTTAGAGACCACAGGGGTAGTTCTACTTTGTCCTGTAGAGGTACTGTGAGTCGGGAATCCACTTGATGGTAGTGAGCTTTGAGACTTGGCTTCTACAGGGACCATGGCCTTGAGTCGGAAGTCTGTCTTTTGTAGCTAATAGGCTGGAAATCTAACCAGTACTCTCAGTTCGTCCTTTTGTAAAAGGTAAAATTCAATTGAAAGGAAATGATGTATCAAGTTTTATCTGAAATGAAACCCACTACCAGCAAGTCAATTCTGACACTTGGTGACCCTATACTATAAGGTTTCGGAGCTGTAGTACATCTTTAAGGGAGCAAAACACCTCACGTTTCTCCCACAGAACAACTGGTCAGTCTGCCTTCTGACCTACCCCTTACCCATGCCTAAACTACATCGATTTTTTGGTTATCTATCCTCAAAACAGTATCATTTACTTTCTCACCTACCCAGTAGCTCCCTTTCCATAGCTTTCTTTTAAAACACTCAAGTGGTCACCCTGTCCTGAAAACACCCTGACTTGAAGCCAATCTGCTGGTACCAGGACACATTTCTCACGGGTTTCTGCAGACCCTTGTGTGACCTACTACTGAGACTGTCCCCCAAGGGGGGCATCCTGGTCAACTGGATCCAAACCCAAGGATAGAATTTCATCATTATTCTTCTTAACTTCTCTACAGGAGTGAATGAATTTGAATGGGTGAGATATCCTGAACTCCTGCTTTCTTCTAAGACATCCACCTTCCAGGCTCATTTCCCAAGATCCTCTCTGGGACCCTTATCTTTCCTTTTTAAAAAATTTTATTCATTTATTTATTTTAAATCATTTTATTGGTGGCTCATATAGCTCTTATCACAATACATGCATGCATCCATTGTGTCAAGCTCATTTGTACATGTGTTGCCATCATCATTTTCAAAACATTTTCTTTCTACTTCAGCCCTTGGTATCAGCTCATTTTCCCCCCTCCCAATCCCACTTTCCCTCCCTCGTGAACCCTTGATATTTTATAAATTATTATTATTTTTTCATGTCTTA